AAATTTGTTTCTGTTTTGAGTAAAGGGCATGAAAAGAAACTTAAAGATTGTCTTAATATTTCTTAAAGTTAGAAGAAATTTGATTTTTATTTTCTAAATTTTATAGTAGTGATTGTCTATTTTCTTGTAAAATAGAATTTCTATTAAAAGTTTAGAAATTGTTTTGTTGATAATTATGAAATTAAAACTGTTTATATTTCATAATTGCCACTCTTAACTCTTTATGTAATGTTATTGGAATTGATAAATCTCTTCAAATATAGATTGGATTAATGTAATCCAACTTATATTTGGCACAAAATATTAGGTCATGTTAATATTGATAAGATCAATAAATTGATAATGGATAGTCCTTTGAATTTTCTAAATTAGAATATTTCTCAACTTATAAATATTGTCTAAAAGACATATGACCAAACTATTTTTCTAGAATAGTGCTAAAGCTCTTGTGTACTCTTGATTTTATACATCAGATGTATATGATCCTTTAAATGTTAAAGCAATAGTTAAATATTCTTATTTTATAACATTCATATATGATGCATTTATATATTGATGTATTTATGCGATTGTATCATATATTAGAATATTATTGAATAGTTCAAAGAATATAGATTGAAGTTAAAGATGAGCTTGATAAAAGTATCAAAGTCATCCTATTTGATCCAGATGACAAGTTCCTATTCTTAGGAGTTAAAGAGATTTAAACAAAATAGAATTGTTAGTACTTGACATCTGCTAATTTACCATTCCTAATTATTTGTCTGAAAGTTGGAACTAAATCTTATTCGATATGGTTAGGTTTATGCTAAGCATTTACCTGTTCTTATTTTCTTATAGGTTATGCATTGGAGATTGCATATTATTTATTATGTAGAACTCCTACCATATCTTTTTCTTTCACTCCATATTAGACATGGATATGAAGAAAATTAAGTGTACAACGCTTGAAGATCTGGAGTTGTCGTATTCTCATCGGAGAATAAAATATGGACAAAATAGGAGTCTAAGATAAATAACATCTTACTGGTAGGTTATCCTAAAGAAAGTACTAGATATTATATTGATAATCCTAGTGTATTTTTCAGACTAATTATTATTAGAAATGTGTTCTTTTATAAAATCAAGTTTGTTAAGCAAGGGTTGATATAACTCTAGAAGAAAACTTATTTTCTTTAATAGGAGAATTATTTAATCCGGTGGAAGAAACTTCAAATGAGTTGAAGATTCTATAAATTTAGTGGGAGCTTCCAGTAATAAAGTAAATAGAGATTTACTTAATTTATTATTGAATACACCGATTACAATTAGGAGATCAAATAGGATTTTCATCCACCTGTATAGTACAGTAACCTTGTTAATATATATTTGATGAAAAGTAACAAGGAGAATAAAATTCCTAAAACTTACGCAAAAGTCATGTTGGACATGATTTCATGTAAGTGAGCTGATGTCACATTTGATGACTCCTAAAACTTACGCAAAAGTCATGTTGGACATGATTTCATGTAAGTGAGCTGATGTCACATTTGATGACAAACGGTTATTAATTGTTGAAGATGTTGGACATGATTTCATGTAAGTGAGCTGATGTCACATTTGATGACAAACGGTTATTAATTGTTGAAGATTTTTTTTTTCCGTCTAATTATAATATTATAGTTCATAAGGATCTATTTAATCATTTCAACATGTTATGAATATAAGATATCGATAAATGGATTTCAAAATAACCTTCTTGAATGGATATCTTAAAGAAAATATTTACATATAGAGATTATAGAATCAAGTATGTAAAATTCAAGAAGATAAGATTGATTAATTGAATCAATCAAATATATGAATTTAATCAAAGATTCATTTTGATGAGATCATTAAGGAAATTGTTTTTAATCATATCCTTAAAAAGAAATCTTGTGTGTATAAGAAACAATAAAATAATTCCATTATATTCCTATCATTGCATGCTGATGACATATTACTCATTAAGAATGATATTTTAATGTCATGACAAAAAGTATGATTTAGTTCCTTATGAAGGATTTTGATTTAGTTCCTTATGAAGGATTTTATTTTGACATTCTATATCTTAGATCTCAAACTCTATATAGATAGAGAAAGAGATATAGAATTGTCACAATCTACTTATATGGATAAGATCCATAGAAGATTCAATTTAACAAGATTCCAAGAAAGGAATGGTTCCTATAAGACATAACTAATCACTCTTTAAGGAAATGTGTCCTTTTAATGTCATGAGTAAAAGTAAGATTTAGTTCTTTATGAAGGATTTTCTTTTGACATTCTATATCGTAGATCTTAAACTCTATATAGATAGAGAAATAGATATATAGAGTTGTATAATCTACTTATATGGATAAGATCCATAAAAGATTCAATTTAACAAGATTCCAAGAAAGGAATGGTTCCTATAAGACATAACTAATCACTCTTTAAGGAAATGTGTCCCAAAAAGATTGAGGTTTTTTGGAAGCAATTGATCTTGTAAGTAGTTTCCAATCCAATCCTAATAATAGAAAGTCTGTTTCGGGTTATATTTATATCGTTAATAATAATAGCAGAATATGTAGTTCCATGTGAAACCATTAAAGAAGGAATATGGATAAATGAGTTTCTCCATAAGCTTAATATTATTTTTTATAATATTTTTCTTTCTTACTATTATTTGATAGTAATGGAGTTGTTGCGAAAAGCTTAGAAGGAAAAGTTATCTTATTAAAGGTTATAAGAAGAAATATGTGATGGTTTAATAGATGGCTAAGCAGATAACATTTAATATCCTTTTATAGACCATTGTCATAAAATGTTTTGGACAAATAGGAGTAAGGATTACATCTGATTGGATGTTAGGACAAGTGAGAGATTGCTGGAATAGTAATAATAATTTGTCCTTGAACATCCAATACAAATTATGTAATAATATTGTAATGTTAATAAATTTTATTCTTGCTCATATAATTTGGGTATTATTTATATAATTATTATATATCCTTAGAAGTTATTTTGTTAGATTATGCACTGTGATGGTCACGTGCTTGGAGATATGATCTAACTTAGAAACTTTCTTAAATTTGTGCTTAACATATAACTAGTAGAGGATAACTTTATTATAACAGGTTATTATGCATGACACCGATATATAAGATGTGGTGGAGGGTCTCAACCACCGGGAATGGGGATTCTCCAGGTGTATGTCATAAACACATATTATGATGCGTGTAGCACTAGACCGTATTTGAATTTTCTAGGACGAGTCACCTAAGAAATAGAGAATTCAAATTGTTACATGGTCCATTTGACTTGATGATATTGTTATTTTTTATTTGATAATTTAGTATATGCTTTGATTTGATGGTTAAACTTGTTTAGCAAGTGCTACACAACCTGAAATGTTAGGTTGCTAAATTTCATTTAGGAAAATGATGGATATCTAGATAGGATCCAGTATGCTCATTATGATGAGTTAATTTATTATGCATTCCCATAAAGCTATTAAATTCCTACCGACAGGTAGTTTTGAAAATATTTTTAAAATTTACTTTCTTATAAAAATAAAATATTTTGATGTTTTAAAATAATTTTTATTTATATTCATGGGAATTGCAATTTAGGTATTAGCAAATAGGTGAGTTGTCTTTCTTAAAAGAGTTGCCTAAAATAAATGATATTGGGGGGACTGAATGTAAGATATTATTTATTAATAATTAATCTCATATTATGGAAGAGCTTTTATGAACAGTTGGTCGGATAGGGATTTGATTGTTAAATTAAAATTATTAATTTGATTAATAATTGGTTCTCGATATGGGACCCAATTGGTCTCACTAATATTATTAGAAGATGTATACATGCAATGCAATTCTATTTCTATCCTTAATTGTTATGGATAAAGTTTTTGAACAAATTTAATTTTATCCTTAATTGTTATAGATAAAAGTTTTTGAACAAATCTAACTCTATCCTTAATTGTTATGGATAAAGTTTTTGAACAAATCTATTCTATCTTTAATTGTTATGGATAGAGTTTTAAACAATTATGAATTGTTTAAAATTAAAATATCTAAGACTAGTCTAATCCTATAAATAGAGTTCATATATAGTCTTATGAAGAGATAGAAAATCTTATGAAGATAATATGAAGAAATAGAAATTTGAGAACCTATCTCTCAGTATTGCTCCTCTTCGATGACGGGTGGATTTCAATTGGAGGTTTTTCTTTTGATGAAACTTTTTCAGATTGGTCTCGGATCAGATTATTGTAGAAATTCGGAAAGCGTTTCAGGTATAATTCTAGATTTTAATTAATTTTGATTAATAATCATGATATAATTTTTTCCGCTGTGTCGTATGTCACGAATCCAACATATACATTCTAATTTCACCGCTTAATTGTCAGAAGCCCCATGCCGCTGATCATCCTAGGATAGCCTTGACCAAGGATCTTTATTTGGCAATTTTCTCAAAATCCATCTTTAAGAGCGCACGTCGAGAAATGCTCCAATCACTTTTCTAAGCAATCGAAGAAGAAGAAAATCAAGGAACCTAGGTTTGTTGCACTTAATGCAAATATAGTGTCATTGGCCTTAACTCGACGTACGCCACAAAAGGCATCTAAACACTCTAAATCAAATATCACTACCATGGTTGCAAAACTGAAAATAAACCCTGAGCTCATATTGAACTCAAACCGAAAATTCTAAGCCTGACAACGCTAAGAAAAATCTCAACCAATTAAGTTCCATGCCCAGTCAAATTTCGACCAATATGGGCATGGATGATAAAAAGACACTTTGACCCACATTAGCACTTCAAATAGCAAGCATCAGTGCATACTCATCTACCTCCACCAGGGCCCTAAATTAATACCAAAAGTCCACTACTAACAAGTCAAATACACCCTTCAACCAAACTTCAAAAATATTGCAAAAAAACACAAATTCATCAAAATAGACAACGAACTAATCAAATTTCAACCATACCCATCTGGGAAAATATTGCCCCTCAGCGGCAGCACAGCCGCCGACGACGAAGAACCTGAAGCAAATTTTCCACTACGCTTCACAACCAGCTTCATATCCCCCATGACCATCAACGACGAAGTCCCGTTCTCCTTCTTCCCGTTTGATTTAGGATACAGTGGAAGCCAAAACGAGTTCTCCTCCCTCTTCCTCTCATTAGAAGAAGAAGATGACTCCTCTTGCAACAACTGAAGTGGGTCTTCAGAGAGGAGGCAGATGAAGAGGGAGGAGACGATGAGGGTGAAGCCCACGAAGGCTGCTAAGGTTCTCCTTGATGGGAGGAAAGAGGGGAGATCGTGATGGGCTTGGGCTTGGGCTTGGGCTTGGATCTGAGCTTGTTGCACTTGTTGGGCTCGTGGGAGTGAGGGATTGGGGTCGGTGAAAGTGAAGGCAGTGATGGTTTTGCCTTGAGATGGGTCATCTTTTGGAGGGAGAGAGATGATCACTACCCCTTTCAACTCCCCCTCCATTGCCTCTATTCACCCCCTCCCTTGTTGGGTTTTTTGGGGAGAAGAGGAGAAGGGTTGAGGGAGCTAAATGTTAGGATTATGTCATGAAATATTATTAGGATTTTTTGTTTTTAAACGCAATTTTTTATTGTGACTTATTATGTTAAAACTCATCTACTTTCAAATTTATCCTTCAATGCCAAATATCTAATATTGAATTATGGAAATTTTTTTTGCTCCCCATAGAAGTCATCTTTGAAATCCATTTTTAATTTACACATAAATTATCTTGGGGTCAGATCTAAGTGTTACCGGGGTGGGCTGGTGCACCCCTAGAGATCATACTTTTGTAGATTATGTTGATAACTTTCTAAACATATTACAATAGTGATTCCGATAATCCGGTCAAAAGTTATGAGCAGTGCAAGCTTCAGCATATGTGCATGTTTATAACCTGCTGCTAATTGTTTTTATGTTGTCTTATTAAAATATTCATATCACAGGTTATACATATCTGAATTGAATTATGTTTATTTCTATAAATAGATACTT